TTTCTTCTACAGGTTGTCTGTAGAGGAAGGCTAAAAGTCATAGACAATTGGCTGTAAGTGACTTGATGGGGAAAAGTTTGGTCTAGAAATAAATATTTGAAAACTTATAAATGTTGGCTACAATCACGAGAGGGGATGAGATGTAGAGCAAGAGTGTAGAGGAGAAAAGGTTGAGAGACCTGTAGGGAACCTCAGAGTTTAATTATACAGAGGAGGGATTCAACAGGGCCCTGAGAAGAAATGATGAGGCTATTAGATGGAGAATCAGGACAAGTGTTAAGGAGAGAGGGGTTAACAGTACAAAGGAGGAAGAGACACCAGTTAAGATAAAGAACTAGTCTTTGTCCTGGCTGGTGTGGCTCAGCTGGTTGGGCATCATCCCAAAGGGTTGCTGGTTTGATTCCCAGTTGGGGCATATGCCCTGGTTTTGGGCTTGATCCCCGGCAGTGAACATGCAGGAGGCAGCTACGATGTTTCACTCTTTCTCCCTCTCCCTTCCTCTCTAAATAAATAAATAAGTAATCTTAAAAAAAAAGGAACTAGTTTTTAAAAATGTAGGAAGTTGTGATTGTTCTGTTTCAAAATCATAAGCTACCTCAAGTCTTTTTCTGGAAGGAGACACGTGTAACACATTTCTAGAACTTGAAATGTGTATAAATCCCAGTGTAAGGATGTTATGGTTCTGGGCTGGTGAAAGACACCACTCCTACCCCTCCTCAGTGAGGGACAAGTTCACACCTGAACAGTGAGGTCAGTTATCTTTGTCACTATGTTCATATGGCTGTGGACTATTAGGAGGCTCTGGAATAGAAAATGGAACCCAGCCAGAAGACTCAAAGGATGAAGGGTTTGACCTTGCCTTTTGTCTGGTTCTAAGGAAGGAATCAAGATGAACGCAGAAGTGGACTCACATGTGTGCACTAAGAGATAGGCAACAGGATGGCTGTAGTATTGTTTGTGCTAGAGAAAGATTGGAAACAACCTAAGTGTCCATCAACGGAAGAATGGATAATTAAACTGTGCTATGGTCATTCAATGGAATTCTACTTGGCAGATGAAATGAATAAACTAGATATGTATGTATCAACATATGTGAAAACAATGTTGACTGAAAACAAAGCATATTGCAACATGAAAGTAGTTATGTAAATAGTATACATTTTATGTAAACATATAGATACTAGAGGCCCAGTGCATGAAATTCGTGCACAGGTAGGGTCCCTAGGCCTGGCTGGTGATCAGGGCCAATCAAGGCCTTCCGGCTGCTGGCCAGGGCCTTCCTTCCAGCTGCCAGCTGGGGCCTCCCTTCCCCGGCTGCCTGCTGCCAGTTGGACCCTTCCTTTGTTCCGTGCTGCCCCCTGGTGGTCAGCACACATCATGGCGAGCAATCGAACTCCCAGTTGAACTCCCAAGGGGACACTTTGCATATTAGTCTTTTATATATATAGATAGTTTAGGTATAAAAACATGAACTAATAGGGTACTGATTGCCTCTGAGGAGGGAGCGAGGGAGGGAGGGCAAGACTGGGAAATACAGGTAAGAGGATTTCAACTTTATCTGTATTATTCTAATTTCTCTTATTAAGAAACTAGAGGCCCGGTGCACGACATTCATGCAGGGGGGCCCCTCAGACTGGCCTGCACCCTCTTGCAGTCCGGGACCCTCTTGCAGCCTTGGGGGATGTCCGACTGCTGGTGGGGAGTGGGTCTAAGCTGGCAATCGGACATTCCCTCAGGGGTCCTTAGTGCTGCCGCCACCGCTGCTGCGTTCACCAGCCTTGAGCCCGGCTTCTGGCTGAGCGGCGCTCCCCCTGTGGGAGCACACTGACCACCAGGGGTCAGCTCCTGCATTGAGCATCTTCCCCCTGGTGGTCAGTGTGTGTCATAGCAACCAGTCATTCTGTCATTTGGTCAATTTGCATATTAGGGTTTTATTATATAGGATATTTGAAACATGAAGAGGTGGTCAATTTAATTACTTTTTAGGTAAATGTAAATTAAAGCCACAGAAAATAGGAAAAAATTGCAGTAAGATACCAGTATACACTCACCATAATGGTTAAAGTTAACATGTCTAGCAATATCATATGTTGACACAAATATGGAGCAATTGGAATTCTTACACATTGCTGGGAGTGTAGATTCATTCAACACTCTGGAAAATAGTATCTTTGAAAGATAAGCACATGTCTCTCCTGTGATTCTGAAATTTCCCTCCTAGGTATAAACCCAAGGGAAGTGAGTATTGATGTGCACCAAAAGAAATGTACAAGGATGTTCACAGCAGCTTTCTATTAGTCAATGACTAGAGATAACTAAGGCAATTTGGTTATTCCACTTCTAGATGTATATCCTAGAGGCTCTTAATCATGTACACAAGGAGACAGGTGCGAGAATACTCACTGCAGCACTATTCAAGTAAGACCAGCCCACCAGCAGCAGCAACCAAACAACAATTTAAATGTCCACCAGGAGGATGGATTAATACTGCAACACCCATACATGGACATTATGTTAAGCAAAAGAAGCCAGATATATAAAAAAAATGAATACACTATAATTTTGTTTAAGGAGTTTTAGAATTGGCAAACTAATAATCCTTGGGTTAACTATCATAGGGGTTACTTATGGGGGCCCACTGACTGGAAAATGGCATCCGGACTCTTCTAGGGTGAGAATAAAATACTATATCTTCATCTGGATGGTAATTACACAGGTAAACATTTACCGAACTTACACTCAAATTTTGCATACTTTGTTGTATCTAAATTATACCTCAAAAAATATCTGAAGCAAAAATAAAATGTTAACATGTGTTCATTCTCAGTGGTGGCTACACAGAGTGCTATGACCTAATTCTCTATATTTTTCTATATATTAAAATTATAATTAGGAAAGAGAAGAGAGCAGTAGTCTTCCATAACCAGAGTAACACCCATGCTAGAGGTGACACTTTGAGTTGGGGCCCCTCAATGCTTGGGTGGGTTCCCATACAATGGGGTGCAGATGACAACAGCCAGCCAACCTGAGAAGAGGTTACCTTCATTGTCACTGTCTCGGTAAACTGAATGGCTGCTGTAAACTGGAGCTGTTTTGTAGGCTGTTCTGAAGATCAGCTCGGCTGATTCTTCAGCTGACAGGGATGCAAGAGCTGGGCTGGGTTGTCCATCACCCTGTACCCTGCCCCCACCCAGGAGGGAGAGCTGCATTTGGAAAGCAGTTCCTTGGTCTCAGCTGCCCAATTGGTTGCTGCTCTGCTAGCCCAGGGCATCACCAGTGGGAAAGAGGAAAAAAAAAATTAAAAAGGGAGGTGGGAAAAAGGAAAAAATAAAAGAGGTGAAATGAAAGATGCATATGCCTTGCCTTGCTGCTTTAAGGACCTGGATTATCTACTTCAGTATTTGGAGCCTCTTCCTCCTGTCTGCTCAGTTCTCCACCTTACCCTGTGGAGGAAGTGCGGGTGTGGTGAAGCCCAAAGCGGCTCTGAAACCAGATAGGGCTGCCCTGCCATCAGGACCTGACTAGCCGGCTACTTAACCTCTCTGCGCCTCACCTGTGAAACAGAAGCAGTAATTCCGCCTCTCAGGGTTGCTCTGGGGCTGAAAATGGTGCATGCCAGACCTGACCCTGGGGGCCCTTGATAACCAGGATAAGACCCCTTGTTTCTCCCTGAAGCCAGCTTTGTGAGTCCGAAACCCTGGCAAGGTCTCCCAGCAGAAGTTTTAGCAATGATGACGGTTGAGCGCTTGACATGTGGCTAGTTGGACTGAGAGACTCCATTTTTTCATTTTATTCTATTTTAATTGCTTTACATTTAAATAGCCAGCTGTGGTCAGTGGCTACTCCATTGGGCAGCACAAGAGGAGTCATTCACAGTCACAACTGGTGCCCTGCCAGGCGGCTGGGCAGGGTGGCCCATTAGTGTGGACTCAGAGGGGCCCAGGTACTCCCTGCACCTAAGAAGCCATTTCTTCCGCCCAAGGAGCTCCTCCAGAATGAAGTCGGGGACTGTAGTCAGGCTCCGGCTCAGCTGGGAGCAGTCAAGGTTGGTAAACCGTGGAATCCCCTGACTTCTGTCTCTCTTTCCTCCCACACTTTTCACCCACAACACTTTTTAAATTTTAAATGTTTCTATTGAATTCAGAGAGGAAGAGAGAGGGAGAGATAGAAACATCAATGATGAGAGAGAATCACTGATTGGCTGCCTCTCGCAGGCCCCAGTAATCAAGCCCGAAACATGTGTCCCCACCAGGAATCTAACCGCAACCTCCTGGTTCATAGGTCCTGGCTCAACCACTGAGCCACACCGGCTGGGCCCACAGCTGTTTTTATTTTTATCTATTGATATGAGAGAAAGAGAGAAAAACATCTATCTGTTGTTCCCTCTATTCATGCATTCATTGGTTGCCTCTTGTATGTGCCCCACGGGGATGGAACTGCGGCAACCCTGGCACATTGGGACCGCGCTTGAACTAACTGAGCTACCCGCCAGGGCTCCACCCACAACGCTTAAGTCCCTCGGAGAAGTTGGATGGGGACGCGTGGGAGACACCCCCTGGGTCTCTCCTCTCAGCCGTTCAGCTTCTTCACTCTTCACAGCAAACCCTGGAGGCTCAGCGTTTTCATTTCACAGATGAGGGAACTGAGGCTCCAGTAGGTTCAGGGCACAGGGCGGGAAGCAGCGGAGCTCCAGCTGAAAGTAGAACTTTTGGGGGTTCTGGTGACGTCAAAGGCATCTTCCTGGGTCGGGTTGTCAGGGTGCGCGGGGAAAACGGCGGGTAAATATTTGGGGCTGTAACCTGGGCTCCAGCCAGTCCTAGTCACTGCGGTTCCCGGGCGGCGCGTGGCGAGGGCGGTGTCTGGGGACAAGGGCATCTTGGCGGGCGGCGGAGCCCACTCGCTGGCCCCGCCCGGCCCCGCCTCCACCTCCGCCGGCGGCTATAAGTCACCCGGGCGGCGGTGGCGGCGCTGTTGAAAGGGCGCGTGCGGACCGGACCGTACCGTACCGTACTGGGAGCGGCAAGGAGCGACAAGTAGAGCGGGAGCAGAGCGGGAGCAGAGCCGGAGCGCGCGCCGAGCCCCCGGCTGCAGTGCGAGCGTCCCGGGTCCCGGCAGCACCTCGCAGGACCCTCCGCCCCGCGCCGGGCAGAGCCCGCCCATGAAGCCGCCCGCATCGCAGGGCAGCCCCGCGGCCGCCGCAGCCGCAGGTGAGCGGGGGTCCCCTTAGAGCCCTGGGCCTACAGGTGGGGGTGGGAGCGGGAAAGAAGAGTGATGCCGTGTCCTCCCTTACACTTTACCTCCCGCCATCCTCACCAGCGGGAGCCTGCCGTGGCGGGTCAGCTCCCTCCCGCCCCACGCAGGGCTGAGGACCCGAGCTCGACCCCGCGGGCGCAGCCTGACTCAGTTTTCCCTCCGCCAGCGGGTTCGCACGCGCCCCCGGGGGAGCGAGCGTGGGGACACGGAGCCGGCGCGCGTGGGAAAGAGTTCCGCTGTGTCACCAGCGGGGGCCTTGGCCGGCAGTTTCTCCCGCCGCAGGCTGTTTCCTTCTCTCTAAGGTGGCGGGATAGCAGGCCGGGCTTCCAGGGGGGTGCACAATATTAGGAAATCAGCAGCGGCGCGCCCGCGTGCGGCCACCGGGCGAGCGCAGGGAGGGTCGTTATCCCCGGGAGCGGGCGGCCCCTCTGGGCGGGACGGGGTGCCCGCGGGGCCCGGCGTCTGAGCCCGCGTCCCCGCCCCCAGCGCCGGCCCTGGACTCCGCGGCCGCCGGCGACCTGACGGACGCGCTGTGCGAGTTCGACGCGGTGCTGGCTGACTTCGCGTCGCCCTTCCACGAGCGCCACTTCCACTACGAGGAGCACCTGGAGCGCATGAAGCGGCGGAGCAGCGCCAGCGTCAGCGACAGCAGCGGCTTCAGCGACTCCGAGAGTAAGTGCGCCCCAGCGAGGAAGGTGCCCCGCGCCCCGAGGCTCCCGCCGGGTCCGTGCGGGAGCGCTGGGCGCGGTCTGAGTTTGCCTAACTGTAGTCGGAGGGGTGGGGCCCAGCGAGGTGACCCTACCGCTCAGGGCAGTCCCCAGGGCACCGGGAGAGCGGAGTCGCGGGGCGGTCGCCCAGCGGGGGCCAGAACCCGGGGGAGGCTCTGGAGGGCCAGTGGGTCTCCCTGCGGCCGGCAGGTGCCACGGGCTGGAGGGTTTCCTGAAGCAGCTGGTCCGGCCTCAGCCAGACGGGACTCCTGGGACCCGAGCCTTTCCACAGTTCCCTCGCCTCCGCTCCTTCCCCCTCCTCCCCTCTCAGCAATAACTTTTCAGAGGACGTGGAGCAAGTGGCACAGGAATGGGGGTGGGAGGGGACGTGGGAGGGCACAATGCTGAAACATTTGTGAAACCAGAAAAGTTTCATAAACGGCTGCGCTTGGGAATTTTTGAAATAACTTCTTGCACTTTCTTTTGGTCCCGCGCTCCCCGACTGGCTGCTCCATTACAGACAGTTTTGAGAGAATCCCTGGCACTGCTGGGTTCAAGTGTTTTAGGAAGTGACCCCTTCTTCAGACAGGCCTCTGGGGGAGTGCTGGCTTTGACTCCCCGCTCAGACTGGACAGGGTGATGCTTCCTGGTGACTCCCAGGGTCTCTCTGTCCTAAACAGCCTCAAGAGACACAGCTTTCTTCAGGAACCCAAATGTCCTCTAAGAATTATGGATGTCTGCTTAGGTGTCAAACAGCACATTGGGTGACTTTTCAGTATTACATGCTTGCCGGTTTCAAATTACTTATTTTTCAAAGTGAATTTGAAGCAATTCTGGGTTATTCTCGAGACTTCACTCCCTAGATGGCTACAGGCATGAATGGCACTCTCTTTGCTGCCCTGGACTCTGGAAGTGCGAGCAATGACCTTTCCTTGTAATTCTCTTCTTTTGAAATCCAAAGTTCTTCCTTGTCAGAGGGCAAAGGTTCAGTCCCAGACTTAAACATGAGCTGTCTCCTGAGAAGGGATAAAGGGCACGCACCACCCTTCAGAGTTTGAGTCAGAAACCCGAGTTCCAGACTTTCTTTTGGCTGCCTTGCCCAAGGGTTAGATCTAATTGCAGCTTTGAGGTGAAAGGGAATGGAATAGTGTGCTGTTAATTTTCCGTTTTGTATTTTTGGACTTTGTGGCTAATGACCAGACCGCTTATATTTAATTTCAAAGGGAAGCCTAAAAACTTTTGAAATGTGTCTCACTATCTGTGGCCAAACTGAAATACATCTCCTTCTACTGGGGCATGGAGCAAGTTATTCATTGAGAACAAATTCTCTCCCCCACAGGAAAGAAAGCTGGGGCAGCCTGTCCAGTGCTGGTCTATTGCAAAGAACAGCTCCTTTCTAAACCACAGCCGCACTTGGCTGGAGTATGGTCTGAGCGCGCCCATTCATGGGTGATTGCAGCTCCCTCTGGGTAGGGTTTCAGAGCTGGGATCTGCTTTCAGGGGCCTCAAAGAGAAGGTACTTGAAACACATTCTGAACAGTTTTCGGTTTTCGGGGGATGTGTGAAATAATCTGTATTGTTCTTAGGGTATGTGTGTCTATTTCGTTTTCTGCTTTTGTTGTTAACTGTTGAACTAAACCGTAGTTTGGTGTTTAGAGAAGTAATGGGGAGGGTATAAAGAAGGCTCCGGTGACATCAGTCTATTCAACAAATGTGTAGTTTGTCCCCCATATGACTGCTTAGAACTAGTCTTGACAGAAGCGGTGTGTATCTAAATAGTAATTTCTTAAGGAAGCATAATATGTATATCTTAATTGCCACCAAGAATTGCGTACAGGCATTCGTTTTAATCATTTGTCTGTTTAATGCTTTCCTGTGGAAGAGAATGAGAGAGGTAGACCTGCTAAATTCAGTCCACCAAAAGGGAGACACACCAAGATAAGATAATAAGAGAGGGTCACTTTTGCCACGCCCTGACTATGATTACTATTAGTACTTATTAGCTCTTACTATTAGTGGTCTCTTTGCTGTGCTTTAAATGTGTTATCTCATATGACCGCTACCACAGTTCTATAAGGTAGACACTGTTATTTGTATTTTTCTGATAAAACATCAGAACCACATGGGCTCTCTCTCTCTAAGGCCTTGCTCTTCAGGGTGGATTGTTGGCTGGAATGGGAGCCAAGTCCTCAGGAATAGATATGAAGTCCCATTGGACCCAGATCACGTGCCTGTTTAGCAGTGGTGGTTGTGTGTGAAGGTGTATCTTTCAAGTGCTCGTCTGCTGGGGCAGTGGAGCCCAGACTGAGCACCGTCAGCCCTGGGCGATGAGTGGGCTTCAGTTTCTCTGGCTGTAAGGTTGAACTGATGCTGTTTAATTAGTGCAATTAGAAATATCCATGAGCCCATAATTAGGAAGAAATACTTGCTCTTTTTAAAAAATATATATTTTTATTGATCTCAGAGAGGAAGAGAGGGAGAGAGAGATGGAAACATCAATGATGAGAGAGAATCATTGATCAGTTGCCTCCTGCACCCCCCACTGGGGACAGAACCCATAGTGTGGGCATATGCCCTGACCAGGAATTGAATTGTGACCTCCTGGTTCATAGGTTGATTGTCAACCACTGAACCACACCGGCCAGGTGCATTTCTGGTTTTTTTCCCCAAGAACCCTTCCTTTTCTCACTAGGTTACTTGCATCCAAAAGAGAAAGATAGACATTTCTTCTTCCACCCAAAGAAGCAAGTTACTTAGACAGGAAAGAATAACACATATTTAATAAGGAAATACTCCTTCATGTTCCCACTTAGGGAGTCCTAAGACATGAAGAGGACCAAAATAACAATTGCAAGATAACTTCACCTTAGGGGTGGCATTCAAATGGGGGTGATCAAAATAGGCTTGTTCCTTTCTCCTACTTGGGTTCTGACAGATAATCTCAGGCACCTTTGTGGGAGTAGTTTAACTTCAGCAGTAAACAGGCAGTGTAGTTAGGAGCTAGGGCAGTGTGGTTCAAACTTGATCATCAGACATGCTGCAGGAGATGTAAACATCTTTGGTTTAAACTTATTCTTCAAACTATATTGTTTTCTCAATATTTCTAAAACTATTTCCAAAAATAGTGAGAAAACAACATAGTTTGAAAAATAACTTTAAGCCAAATGTGTTTAAGGTCTGAAGTTTACTGTGTATGCTAGGGCTATTATGATATTGTAGAGCCATTTTAGGGGAAAAGCAACTGGCTTCCTTAGCATGTGTAAGACCTAGAATGTTTGAATGTCTTTGCCTAGACCAGTGGTCGGCAAACTGCGGACCCTTGAGTGTGGCTCTTCCACAAAATACCACGTGCGCACATACAGTGCGATTGAAACTTCGTGGCCACACTCAAGGGGCCAAAGAGCCGCATGTGGCTCGCGAGCCGCCGTTTGCCGACCACTGGCCTAGACTATTCCAGCTTGGCCCTGGGAGAGGGGACCTTATGGACCCTGGGTGCCAGCATGACGGGAAGCATATTGGCTGATCAGACATAGGAGCCACTGAGACTAGAACCTGAACGTGTTCAAACCGTGGGAAAACGGGGAGTTAGGAGCCCTCTGGTTGCCCTAGTACTGCGTTAGGAATTCTGGGTGGGTCACAGGTCTCACTCTGAAGGCCACCTGGAGAGGTGTCTGGAGGCACGAGCAGTCCCAGAAGGAAAGCTGAGACGACAGCAGTGAAACTGAGGAAGGGGCTCTTTCTTATTCTACCCCACTTTCAGGGAGGCTGTCAGAACTTAGATTTTTGAGGGGAGATTCGCCCCCCACCCCATTCCCTGTGGCAAAAGGGAAACAGGTCCAAGGCTTTCTTTTTCTCAGTTGATTACTATAGTTTACTTGCCTTAAACGTGTGGGATTGTTCTATATTTACAGGAGCTCTGGCCAAGGTTCACTGTCTGTGGTTTTACTTCCCGCTGGACTAGCGCATGTTGGTGCTAACCCTAAATTACCTTTCTCCCCACCCCTAAACTAAAAAAGCACATCTACCTTTTAAACAAGCCTCTGTTTTTGCAGCCGAGTTTCCCAAGCTCTGTTAGTGATTCTAAAGTTAGATGTTTGTATGTTTAATATGCTTACATTTCTTCTAAAGGTGTCTTACAAAACTTGGTCCCTGAATTTGAGGTTCCTGGCTTCAGCACACGAAGTTGACTTGAAAAGGATGTTTTATGGGGCTTTGGGTTGCTTGTGAGATGGGCTTTAGAGCTGATTGAAGTAGATGTAAGGCTTTAAAATATCTATTCATGACACCTGCCAAGGTTCCTCAAATCATCACTGTTACGTGTCCCTCAAGCCCCTATTAATAGCACCTGATACCCGGGTGGGGCAATAATACATTAATAATGTGTATTAATAATACACATTGCTGTCATTTCATTAGACTAACTGGCCATTATTTTGCAAGGAGTAGAGTTCCAGGGTAATGACAAGAACAGGAAGCCAGGCTTTGCTTACCTTTTAATTTACCACAACGCTTAGCATGAGATGTTCATTGCAGGTGCTTAATAAAAGTCTATAATATGAAATTTTATTGGACAAAGGGTACAGAGAGGTCAAGTGTTTGAGGTACTTTTGTGTTGGTGGTTTGGTCTTGGGAGGTTTGTTCTAGGGCACCTCTAAAGAGAAACTTCTCCTAAGGACTTTGCTACTATCTGAAGAAGAGGAGGAAGCCTGGGCCCCGAATCTTGATTCTTACTATTCTCTGTGGTGACCTTTCCTGTCCTGGGTGTTCCATCCTCCATTTTGCCAGGAACTTGAGAATAAATCATGAAAACCATGGGTATCATACATGGAGCACCTCAGTTATTCCCCTTTTGCAAAAGAAACTAAGGCTCAGAGGTGAAGTGACCTGCACAGGCCACACAGCTTTCATGGCCCCTCTCCCACACATCTCCAAGGCGGCAGCTTCTGCCGGGCCCACCGTATCTTTGGGGCTCCTGAGGTTATCCTTTGCATCTTTTTCATGAATAACATTTGTAGAATAATCCCACAGGGTGGGACTAAACTGTGGGAAGTTTTGGCTAAAGGATGCTGGGTTTCATTTCCTTTTGATAGGTGAACATTTTGGAGTCTGGAGTCAAGTTTGGCGCAGATTGTGCATAGGACTTATAGAAAGAGAGAAGGCATCAAGGTGTATCAATGAGCCAGAATATGAGCTAGTGTGTGTGTGTGTGTGTGTGTGTGTGTGTGTGTGTGTGTGTGTTTTCCTCCCAAAGGTTGGGTATATGGTGATGTAAAATAGCTGGAGAATTAGAGCAGAAAAGAGATGAAGTCTGAAGTCCTGGCAAGGGCCTGTGGTACAGGGTGGGGTGGAGTAAGGTGTGGTGGAGAAACTGGCTCTCCACGGCCAACTGTCTGTGGGAGATAGAGAACAGAGGTGTGGCCACTGAGATCCGGGCCAGCGAGTCTCTGGGCTTGGCACTCTGGACCAGGGATGGGGGTGAGATAATTCGCCAAAGACCTAGTGTTCCTTCTGGCTCCGGAGTCTGGGCGCGAGGCCTCCTCCCCAGGGCCCTCTGTGGTTTTCCTGCCGCTATGACTTGCCTCATCTTTCTCCCATAACTTTGTGGGCTTCTCCTGACTATTGCTGGTGACAAATAGTAACACTGCTGTAGGTCTGCAGTGGACACAGCCACTTTGCTGTATGCTGGGAAAAGGCTTTCCCTTGAGGAAACCCAGACTGCTCTAGAGGTGGGCTTAGCTGACAAGGCAAACAGAAGGCACTTGCCAAGTTGAGTCCCACTGAGTACAAGGGTCCTAAGAAATGTTAACAGGGGTGCCCCAGAAAAGTGTTCCGTGATCAAGTGAACTTGGGAAACAGGGCTTTCTTTATCACAAGACTTCTCAGGGATGTTCAAGTGGAAATGCACAATGGGAATCTCCAAGGCTGCTCAGTGCGCTCCAAACTTAGTTGATTACACAGTTCTCTCTCTCTTTTTTTAAAGGATCAGTATTCTGAGGAATATGTTTTTGGGGAAATGTGAGAGGTTCACCATTTGGATCTCAGTAGGTGTTCATCATCAAAACCCTGAAAAATGATGTGGTCCTTTCAGGTGATGTGAGCTGGACCTTTGAAGGTCAAAAACTTTGAGGGTTGGGCGTGTTTGAAAAAGTGGACAAGATGGGTGTGTGGGCCAGGAAGACAAGATGGTGCCCCCCCCCCCCCAGCCCCCACAACCCCCTGCAGAATAGCAGGGAAGGCAAGGGAGCCAGGTGAGATGCCTGAGAGCTTGTAGCAGCCTTTAGGAGTGAAGATAAATTCTCTTGGGACCAGAAACCTCTACTTCTGAAAACCCTTTTTATTCTGGGCACATCTTTTGTAACTTAGTCATGTTCATTTTGTGTTAAGGGGACCAAAGAAGGATGTGTTTGCCTCCTCCTGACCTGGAGGTAATTGGAGAATTCTTATGGAGAAGTCGGGGCTGGCCAGGCCCTCATGATTCGGCTTCCCTCTTTCACCTGAAGAGTATTTCCAGATCATCTCCACTACAGCCGTGGCTGGCTTTGTGTTTTGTTTTAACCAGGAAGACTGTTCCTTTGTGACCTCATTGGCCACATCCTGCTTCCGCTGTCTGCTCTGCCTTTGAGCCCTTTGAGTAGGTGCAGCTCAGCCAGCAGCTCCTCTCTGTCACGGCCGCATGGCTGGGCTGGCTGTGAGTTGGTTTCCTCTCCCTTGGCAGGATTTAGAGAAATAGAATCTCAGAACTTGAGAGCGGGAAAAGACTTTAAGGATTATTTAGTCCATTTTCCCATTTTATTGATGGGTAAGCTGAGGCCCAGGGATACTGTCTTGCTCAAGGGCACCCAAGTAGCTGAACAGTTTCCTTGACTCCCAGTGCAGCCCTGCTTCTGTGACTTTGCCTTGCTGTCGCTCTGGTCTTTGGGGGTATGACAATAGAGGGAACCATGAAATCACTCAAAGTGTCTGTAACAGACAAGCTACCGGAGGAGAAATCCTTGTCGTTGACCCACTAGCTTAACTCCAGAGTGTAAGCTCTCAGGAAAATCATGACAAAGATTCTCTCTTGAACAGGCAGGGAAAATTATTAAGTCATGGGATCCAACCTTGTGTTTATATTTTAGGGGGTTCAGAGGGCAGAAAATAAATTTTTTAGAAAAGATGATTCCTTATGTCTAAGATCCCAAATCATCCTGGTGTTGGTCAGGCACCTGGGCAGTGGGCTCCTCTGTGTTGCAAGGAGGCCAGTGTGGTTATGGTGACTCCATCACACCTGACCTTTTTCAGGGTAGCAAGGGCTTTTGGTGCGTGTGACTAGACACACACACACACACACTCTCTCTCCTATTTCAAATCATTTTGGGGGCATACATATAAAATCTGGAAATCAACCCGTTTTGTTTACTAGAAATTTGTATCTTTTGCTCCTTTTGGTGATAAGCTGTTGATTCCTAATGAGTTATGTTTTCTTTCCTAAAAGGTGCAGATTCATTTTACAGAAACAGCTTCAGCTTCAGTGATGAAAAACTGAATTCTCCAACAGATTCCACCCCGGCTCTGCTCTCTCCCGCCGTCACTCCTCGGAAAGGTGAGTTCATTAGTTGGAGCTTGGTTTTTTTGCTTCCTTATTCCCTTCCTCTTCTCAGTCTCTTCTCTCTTCCCCCTGATCCTTAACCTATCTTTCCCAAAGGCAAAACAAACAGATGACTTATCTCTTAGTATAGTATAGTGTAAAGTGGAATTTATTATTTTTCAGGATTTTGATCAGTGTGGAAGTGAAATCAGATAACACGGTGGGGGTGACATGGGGTCACCAAAAAAAACCCCCAAATTCACAGGGAGAAAGAAAGCTAGTAGACGCCACACAGCGCTCTGCTCTCTCTCAGGAGGTGTCCTTGAGACTGTGCTAGGACAGTGCTCTCTCTGACTGGTGGGTTCCAGAGTTTAAAACTCAGCAGTTAGACTTTGCAGAAAGTAGGAGTCTTTTTATTGCATTAACTATTTAACCAATGATTTCAGATGACCAATTTAGCAATTAAATGGGGTCATCATTATGAGACAAGAGATGATCTAACACGATTCTAAATAGCAGCTCCAGCCCGTCTCTGCTGTGGTATGAGTAGCCCTGGAAGCTTTAAAGATGCACGAGCGGCTTCTTATTTTTTGGAGCTAGTAAGTGTCGCCAGCTAGAGAGCCGAATGTTCTGTTACAGTGAACAAGGGCCCTTTTGAAAACAAAAGGAGTTTTTTTCTCCCTTAAGAAACATTATACTTGCTGAAAATAGTTGCAGAATGCAATAAAAATAGAACGTGGTTGAAGAGAAATATGAAGATCCCATCACTTTTCTCACTCTGGCATTAAGGCAAAATTCTCTCTTTCAAAGGAGCCGTTTTAAAACTTCTCAGGATAGCAATATTAGCAGCCTCCAGGGACTCCGCCATTGTCCTGCCCTCCGTCTGTAACAGGTCTGTTGAATTCAGACAGACAGAGCAGTCTAGAAAGTGGCTTAAAACATGTCCAGATCTGCTACCTGATCCTCAAGAGGTAGGAATTAAAGAGGGGAACAGAGCCCTACTGGCAAATTGACTATATAAACTAAAAACAAAGAGCCATTTGTAGCCAGCAGGGGTTAATTAATACATATATCCAGTAATGCATTTCAGAGAAGGCATGAATGATGAATTCTACACAAAAAAGTAAGATATACAGAAAAAGTATGTATCAGGATACAGAGGAAACAAGATCAAGAGAAGGACTCGTTACCTCTTCCTGGCACCTGGATGGGATAAGAGAAGCCTCATGTCCCCTTCCCGGTACCACTTCGACAAGGACCAGTGGCTCCTCATTCATTTCATACTGGAGGGACTCTGAGGGCCTAAGGTGACAGTACAAGCAGGAAAGTGTCAGAGAGAGAAGTGCAGCAGGAATTAGGGGATCTGGGTGTCCATTCTGCACAGGGCCATGCTTACTGAATATTTTTGACTGATAACTCAAATCCTACACAATCAAAAAAGGAAAACCTTTTATCTTTCTTCCTTGCTCCTTACACCCCCCCCTTCCTTATTACTCCCCAAGCTTTTAAGGCCTCGAAGGGAGGTAGTTCTTCCAGGTTGTTGAGGGGCGGGTAGGAGAGGGGGATAAAAGAAACATTTAGGCTACTCTTCAGAATGCGGTTCTGAGTTGACTGTAAGTAAACTCTGGAGCAGACACTGGGGTTGGTACAGGACACTCTTCACTAACATCTCTGAAGATAGAGAGATGCAAAACAGGGTCAAATAATAGTAGAAAAGGTGGGAGTCATCAGCTGTCTCTGATATGGGGAAACTAAACTCCAACTATTGTTTTTCAGCCAAACTAGGAGACACGAAAGAGCTAGAAGACTTTATTGCTGATCTTGACAGAACATTAGCAAGTGAGTACATGCCTGGTATTAAAAAATCAAACGGAAAACTAACCGACACCTCTGATAAAGTGCTGTAATGTTTACCAACTTGCCTGGGGCAGGAAGTTACACCATAAGGCTTCTTTAGGTTCCAATACAGGACCCATGTGGCTCAGAAAGAAATTGGGAGGATCAGCTTGCCTTAAAGTAGACCGAGCAACTTTTCGAACAGCGAGACTAGGCCACCAGCAAACAATGGTATTTTGTTTGAGAAATGGAGAGTCTAAGTAGTATAGTCATTAGAGCAAGATTGGAGCTTTACCATCATGATGGTCTGCCAGGCTTTTCAGAGAAGAAATGAGCTGATTGGCTATGCAGGCATTATGCTGACAAGCCAGAGGGTTCCATCCCATAGCCAGGGAAATTCCCAGGTTTGATCCAGGGGCTTGGTGAGGTCTGACTTCCAAAGGGTTGGGTCCTGAGAGAGAGTTAGCTGGGGAGACCCTGTAACCAAAGATCCACGCTAGTTACAAAAAGATCTACATTAAGTATGCGATACCTTATTTCCCATTTGGCCATTACACAAGGATACCCCATTTAGTGCAACCAAAAATGTTGAAAAATGGAGATATCTGATCATAACTGCACACTCTGTTTCAAAAGGACAGGATTTCAGGAGCCAGAGGACAGCTAGAGCTTCTGAGATCAACGTTTCAGTAGCTCTGTTCTTTGGGGGCCTTGTTCAGTCACAGAACAAGCGTGGAGAATTGTGTCCTAGCCCCTTACTTTTTCAATGAAAGAGTTGGTTTTCCATAAAAAAATATTTATGCTGTGCTCTGCTAAATAGCTGGGCAAAATCTGAAAATTGGATCCAAAGCTGGTTATTTAAAAATAACTCTGTTCTTCACACTACTTCAGACAGGCTTAAATATTAGGTGGAGGGTCCTGTGTGTTCTCTACCTGCAGAGTTATTGCCCATTTTCTTACACACTGTACCATCCTACATCAGAAGACCAAAGCCTGTTTTGACAGGGATTTTTTGTAATTACAGCTCAGTTGCATTAGACCCATGTAACAAGCCTGTCTACTTCATGGAAATTGCAGCGGGCTGACCAGTCATACCAGTTAATCAGACATACATTATGTGGGAAGCCTGCCATTAAGTTTGTTGCTTTGATGCATGTCCGAGATGGTGGTTAAGCATAGGAACTGTACACTTTCGTGAATGGATAACCTTATCTATCCTATTTACAGGTATGTGAGAAAAGGAGAAGTTCTGGATCCTTTCATCATAAGGGAAAAGCTTCAGAAAGCTCCAAGGACCTGGTAAAATCAGCTACAGAATTTGCTGCCAGAAGGAATAGAGATGAGCACCCGCCTACCACCAGGCCATTCCCAGCTGGTCCTAAAACTAGCCTTTGGGCTCATCCTTGAGCAATTTCGACAGTGAAACTGACTTTGTTTACCTGCTTGCAGCATATTAGAGCAGACCACTCATGCTAATATTGTATTTCTCTTAAACGATGGCTTTCATGTAATTTAAAGTGCTTTTATGAAAATATTTGTAATTAATTATATATAGTTGGAAACAGTGATATGCTTTCCTCAGTATAATATATTTTTGTATGCAAATAAAATTTGAACTGGAATCTGTATTTTGCAAGCTTTTTCTCCCCCTCCCCCCCTTATTTCTTTCAATATATTACCATTCAAATAAAGTGGGAATGACATGCCTCTTGACTTCTAACAAGGATCTTGGATGCTGCCAATTGTACTAGACCAGTGGTCGGCAAACTGTGGCTTGCGAGACACATGCGGCTTTTTGGCCCCTTGAGTGTGGCTCTTCCACAAAATACCACGTGCAATTGAAATTTCATGGCCCATGCGCAGAAGTTGGTTTTTGGCCTGGGCGAGTCTATTTTGAAGAAATGGCGTTAGAAGAAGTGGGGGTATATTCGCTGAGGTCGACCCCTCAGATTGAGGACGTTTTTAGCAAAGGCCAGTTTAGGAGTACCCTAATTAAGTTAATAACAATGTACCTACCTATGTAGTTTAAGTTTAAAAAATTTGGCTCTCAAAAGAAATTTTAATCGTTGTACTGTTGATATTTGGCTCTGTTGACTAATGAGTTTACCGACCACTGTACTAGACAATAGGATGGTAAACTTAAAATGTTACTTTGTTTTTTAATCCTCACCTGAGGATATTTTTTCCATTGATTTTTAGAGAGCGTGGAAGAGAGAGGGAAAGACAGAAATATTGATGTGAGAGCAACACATCGATTGGTTGCCTCCTGCTGGGCCAGGGAGGAGCCTGCAGCTGAGGTACATACCCTTGACTGGAATCAAACTCAGGACTCTTCGGTCTGCAGTCCCAACGCTCTATCCACTGAGCCAAACCAGCTACGGCTTAAAATGTTACTTTGAAACTCATTTCTGAATTCTAGAGGGAAATGTATGATTAATGGGAAATTTTAATTTGAGAATTGTGGCTTTGATGGAAGTTGAGTTTCTCTTCTATCTCTGTTCTCCTATCTTCATATCTTAGCATCTTTTTTAGGTATCATGGGCTCTCTCCTTCAGTTTAAGGGAAATAGCAGTTTCACTCACAATCCAGGACTTAAATATGAGGGAAACTTGGGGCAGCCAGAAGACTTGATGGTGCTCTTACCAATCTCTGTGCTAAGGGAGATTTGATGTACTGATCTCGATGCCCATGTTCAGCTGGCTTTGGTGGAGCCAGAGGGTCCAGATGCAAGGTCTTCCACCGGGTGGGCTTTGCATGTAGAAGCCAATGCTCACCTCCCCTCCCACCTGCCTTTTTTGGAGGCTGGGAGAGGTGTAAAAACAGGAAAGTTCATAATTTTCTTATTATGATTTTCTATTTAAAAACCTTTAAAATGGCCCTAGCTGGTTTGGCTCAGTGGATAGAGCATTGGTCTATGAACTGAAGGGTTTGATTCTGGTCAAGGGCACATGCCTGGGTGGCAGGCTCGATCCCTGGGGAGGGGCTTGCAGGAGGCAGCTGATCAATGATTCTCTCTCATCTTTGATATCCTCTCCTCTCCTCTCCTCTCCTCTCCTCTCCTCTCCTCTCCTCTCCTCTCCTCTCCTCTCCTCTCCTCTCCTCTCCTCTCCTCTCCTCTCCTCTCCTCTCCTCCCCTCCCCTCCCCTCCCCTCCCCTCCTCTCCTCTCCTCTCCTCTCCTCTCCTCTTCTCTTCTCTTCCTTAATCTCTCTCTCTCTCTCTCTCTCTCTCCCCTGTACTCTCTGAAATCAATAATCAAAATCTCTGAAATCAACCCTGCTATACTTGTTTTTAGTTCTATTAGTTATTTTATGGGTTTACATAAAAATATCATTTACAAATAGAAATAGTTTTACTTCTTACTTTCCAATCTGAATGCCTTTTAATTCTTTCTGTTGCCTCATTGCCCTAGCTAGAACATCCAGTACAATGTTGAAAACAAGTGGTGAGAGGGCATACCCTCATCTTGTTGCTGATCTTAGAGGGAAGCTTTTATCTTTTATCTTTAAGTATGATGTTTGCTGTGGGCATATTTTCTTTTTCAATCAAATGAGCTCTTGACTTGTTTTCTAAACACAACTTTTCCATGATCTGGAACTGTTTCTTGCTCATGCTTGGGAGCCTTTATCTTCTTTGGATAAATCTTTTTTTCTTTTTTTAAATCAGGACACCAGTGGCTGGTGTCAGTATAACTGACAGTATAATTTTTATAACCTCTTCTGGGATTGAGGCTCTATCTTTATGGTCTCCTGGAGCATGAACTCCCATAGTTAGAAGTGCAGGGTATGTGGCCTATTGTGGGGATAAGGCCAGTGGTTTGAGGAAAAGAAGTGGATTCTTTTAGAGAAGTGTTGGGGGGAGAGTAGTTTATGCACTATAAACTTCTATTGGGTGAATAACTGGGGACAAGCACAGCTTCTGGGCTGAGTTATAGCTTGGGTTCTGAGAATGTTGAAAAAAGTGTTTTAAATGTTTTATAAGATGTATTTCAAGTAGCACCTTTCTAAACTGTTTTGAGGAATAGGTATTAAGGTCATATATACTTGAAAAGTGCTGCATGGTATGTACCCCACTTAGAGATTTATTCACATTAGTGCATAAATACTTAGGGTCAGTTTAAGTTTGTGAATCAGAGAACCAAAAATAGAGTGTCTTGAACAAAATGGAAGATTTTTTCTCCCCTCACTAACAGCCCAGAGGTGAGCAGTACTGGGTCCAAAGTGGCTGCTCCTGCCCTTGTCATCACATGTACATTCCAGCCATTAGAAAGGAGAAAAGGTGAGTAAACACAGGCTTATTTCTTTCAATGACATGACTAGAAGGGACACAATCACTTGTGCACATATTCCCGTGTTTAGATCTTTGTCCGGTGGTCATTCCTAGCTGCAAGGGATGCTGTGAAAAACGTCTCTAGCTGGGCAGATAGCTATGTGCTCAGCTAACATTTGAGAGTGCAATTATTAAAGAAAGACAAAGAGAATGGGTATTGGAGGACAACTAGTCACCTCTGCCACTGAACCCTGCGGTGTTCCTCCTCCTCCGGACCTGAGAGCCAGCAGCATGCCCTTGCAAACTGCTTGATTGTTACCTGGAGTGTGTTAGTGAATGAGCTTTTCTGGAACAGAACAAGACCAGACATTGAGCATGCAGAGCTGTTCGGATGCGAATAGTAGGATTTTGAGTTTGGAAATTTTCTGTTTTAACTTCTGGGAGGAATAGCTAAATCAATACAAAACAAAATGTTTGACACACACCCAAAGTAAGAGGATCCCGTGCCAGCCTACATGTTTACACACCAGCCAGCCCCAGGGATGGGACAGAGGGACCAATGCACGCCTCTTCTTGGGGGCATTGTGACAGAGAGGGCTACATTGAACACCTGTCCAGGTGTGAGAAGGCCGTCCGATGGGAGGGGCAGTTGGAAGTGGTGTATAGCTTACTGGCAATCTGGGTGGGGAACTTGAGGACTTAGACTGGAAAAAGGGGGAGAAAGTAAAGTATGGGCTTTCAAACTAGACCAGTTCTGCCACTCTACCTGGGTGCTACCTCGAGTCCACCCTCCTCACAGAGGCTCTGTTTCCTCATTTGTAAAATGGAGATGTGAGTCCTTGTCTCCCAGGGTCACTGTGAGGATCAAATATAGAAAACCTGGTGTCTACAACTCCTCATCCTCCTTTTTGTATTACAAGGACACGGGGCTCCTCTACCCAAGGCACAACCAAGCTTCACCTATAGTGGTCTCAGAGGCAGTTCCAACCCCATTGTTCCTCCTCCGATAAAAGAAAGCCAGAAGCTGCTGTCTGAGGGAACCAGAGGGAGCAAGCCAGGGGGAGAACATAGGACACAGAACCCAGAGATGGGCTTCAAGGCCCGCCCTGCCATTGACCGATCCGGGTCCTCTCTTGGCCTCAGCTTCCTCCAGGTTAAGCACAGGACTGGGGACTCAGTATCTCGACTCACTGTCGGATTTCTTTAGCCCCTCCAGTTTGGTGGCCCTGGCTCTTACCTCAGACCTTTGCTCTTTTCTGAAAAGCCGATGAGATCTTTTTCTTGGTTTCTCAGACTGTGTTTCTTCCACATCCTTCTCCAAAATGTTTTCCTGTGCTAATTTATTTGGCTAAGAAGGTTTGTGGTGAGAGATACCAAACAGGAAATGGCTGTCATAGCTGCTGTCTGCACTTTTGTTTTTTTAAGGCTTTCTCCGGCATAGCTTACCTTCTCTGCGTCCCTTGGTATTGATTTAAGTGCAGGAGTAAGTGGAAGGGGAAAGGGAAAGGGAAACCCATTTTTAGAAGGGAACATTTTCCTTCAAGTTCAGAGTTTACTGAAGGTTAATGATCATACACAATAGCAGTGTTAGGTGGGCCTTTATACTAACAGGGCCTTTGCACAAGCAGGTCCCTCTGCCTGGAATGCCTACTCTCCCCTGTTTTTTTCTAGTTAGTTTCCTCTTCTTTAGGATTAAGCATCACTTCTTCAGAAAGGCTTATTGGTCGCCCAGTCCAGGTTGTTTCCTTGGAGCTATTCTTGCAGAACACTCCTTAAGTACACTAATCTTGGTTTGCAATGACATGTTTGTTAGTGTGATTTTTTGGGGTTCATTTTTCCCCACCCTCCTGCAAGTGAACCATAGCTCCACACAGGCAGGAACCAGCTGGTTTGGCTTGCCACAGTATCCCCAGTGCCTGGCATGACCCCTGGCACACAATAAGGACTCAGTCCATACTTGTTGAATGAAATAAGTGAAATTTCTCGCCTCTTCTTCAGCCCAGGCAGACTGGGCATGACACGACACTGTGGGTTGCTCTTTTGCCCCATCTTCTCACCAGGCCACCCCTCTCTTGCAGGTCCTTTCTGCTCTCCTTGCAGGTCCTTTCTGTCCCCACTGGCACTGGGGACCCATAGCAGTTTCTTCCCCAGCTATTTATTTTTTCAGAGGAGGAGAGACTTCTGAAGACCGAGAGATCTTTGAGGATAAACAGAATGAATGCATCTTTGGTGGTGGAACTTCAGGCAGAGTGAAGTAGGGAAAGAGTGAACTTCCTATCACTCCAGGGAGACACAGGATGCCAGGCTGACCCTGATCATGGCACACATTTATACCTTTTCTTAGAACTCAAGGATTCCA